AACTGTGTATGTGTCCAGGTATACGAAATAAAATAAAAATTGTTTTCTGTTAATCTTTGTAATATTATCTGTAAAACCAGTATAATAAGTCCTGATAATAGAAGATACGAATTTATAGTCGAAAATTAACATATTAATAAAAAAAAAGGACATTGAGGCAATTTAATTATTTTTGATTGTTTTCAATTATATCTGAATTTCTCTGAAAAAATTTTACATAATGTTAAATGTCTTAACCACACAATTTTGCTTCCTACTTTCTTCTTCATAGATCTTATCAGATTTTTCAAAAATTTTTTAACACAATTTAGATTAGAATAAATCTAAATTCATTAAAACTCAGAATAATTTAAATTTTGTTTATTAGATTAAGTTTATTGACATTATATTTATTAATAAAGTATTGAAAACAGATTTAACTTATATATAAGGTACAGGCAAAAACACTGCACCAAGCTTTACCTTGTTTCTGCTACATATTAGTTAAATACAAGTGCATGAGAGTATAGGTAATGGTAGTGGACTACTCTATGGCATACTCACCATTTACCCCAACCTCTCTTCTCATGGGACAAATCCTATCTTGGATCTTATGAAAGGTAGAAGCAGTTTAAATTGAAAAGTTATAGAGCATCTCAAAATTAGTACAATTTTTTTTTATCTGGTTAAAATACTCAAAGGGGAAGCAGCTAGGAAAAACAGAGGTTTTTCTTGCATCTTGAAGGCCAGATATTCATTCATGATTAAACATTTTTTGGGACATTTATCCCATCTTCAGATCATTAATATTATCTGCATAAAGAGCAATTTTTAAATAAATTCAAATTATGTTTCAGAATCTATATTCATTTATTCCTAGATATACAGGTATACATCGCCTTACGTCAGTAATTGGTTCCAGGAGAGGCGACTTAAGTCGAATTTACTTGTCACTAGGCTAAACCACAAATAACCATTTCCAGTTCTGTATTTTATTTATAAATGCATTTTTAATAATACATGATTAATAAGAATCTATTTTAAGCTTACAAACAAATAAATTTTAGCTTTTAATATAGTACAGGAAAAAAGTCATCTAAATTTATGAATACATGCACGGTATGTACTGTACTGTACATACTTGTAAATATACATGTTTAAAATATACAATGTTTACAGTACATCGCAGACTCTTTATTTGTGAATGTGGTTTGCTCTAAGACATTATAAAATAAGATGATTTTGTAAGGTTAAATAACAAATACAGTTATTAAAATTATTTTGCAATAGTAAAAAGTAAACTAATTTATGTTAAATTTACCAATAACACATGGTGCTGACAACAATGCCAAACAGTAGATATTGGAACTACCGTGGAAAATGCCAATACTGAGAACTATACTAAATAAGATGACAACACCGAGTCACAGATGTTCTCATATTTCGTTCTCTATGATTTATGACGATTATATTAACATTTACTTAACAGCATACATGATAACATGAGCAACCCAGGATATTTTCAATTAAAAATTGAATTTTGACTATTTACAAAAAAATTTTTAATTTTTCGAGTCTATCTTTCATCCTTTTAACACACCACAGAAGTAACAGTATATTGGCTTGGATAAACTTTCACAGAACACGTGATAAATTATAACAAAACACACACAAAGTTAAAAACTAACAAAATCACCACCAGAGGGCCTGAACCAGTTATATATTGTGCTAAAGAACATGGTAGTTATGGTCAGAAATTGTAACCATTGTTTTAATGTTAAAAAACGCCGAATCCTCAAATAAAAGGTCGGCGTTTCGATCGTTTTTAACTTTGTGTGTGTTTCGTTATAATTTATCACGTGTTCTGTGGAAGTTCATCCAAGCCAATATACTGTTACTTCTGTGGTGTGTTAAAAGGATGAAAGATAGACTCGAAAAATTAAAAAATTTTTTGTAAATAGTCAAAATTCAATTTTTAATTGAAAATATCCTGGGTTGCTCATGTTATCATGTATGCTGTTATGCAAATGAACTTTATGATTACCCAAAATCACCACCAGGAGGCCTGAACCAGTTATATATTGTGCTAAAGAACATGGTAGTTATGGTCAGAAATGGTAACCATTGTTTTAATGTTAAAAAACGCCG